GCCATTATGCTAACTGCTGGTCCCTACCCAGTATTTTTTTCAAATCACTGGGTCTGAGGCTTGAACTGTGCAGTCAGCCATGTGAGATCCAGCCACCTTCACCATGCCAGCTGTTGGCCCATGTTATTCCATTTTAAAGACAAACTGAAGCTTAGGATGTCACATATCGACAGGCACACAGCTATGCCCAGCCACAGTGGTGCAAGTGGCAGAGTGCTGCCACGTGATGCTGGAGCATCTTGGAAGGCCTGGGTTCAGAACCTGGACCAACTGGAACATGGAGGGTGTGGAAGTGTGAACCTTAATCCTAGCTAACTGGCATCTATCTCTATCTCTCTCCCTCTCTTATTAAAAACAGGGGGAGCAGCAAGTGGCGTAGTGATTAAGGTACTGGACTCTCACACTGCTGATGGCACTTTGAGTCCTGCACCTGGCGGTTTGCTTTCTTACTTTCTCTCTCTCTGTCTTGCCCTGTAGCAAATTAGAAAAACAATAATGATAAATAAAATTAAATCTTTGCGGGACCAGCGTAGTGGTTAAGGTGTTGGACACTCCCACATGGCTGACCACGGTTCAAGTCTTGGACCTTGTAGCTTGCTTTCTCACTTTCCCTCTCTCTCTCTCTCTCTCTGGTCAAATTAAAATAAATGAATGAATAAAATAAAATTAAATAAATCTTTAAAAAAATTAAACTTCTAAAAATAATGTAAAACAAAACCTACTATCTATGTTCTGATATTACTTCCTCACAGATCTGTGCATCTGTATGATTATATATCTGTATATGCATATGTATGTAAATAAGTGTGTACATGTCTACATATTAACATAGCTGTATTCTGAGAGAGAGATTGAAACAGGATTTTTTTTTTTTTTTGGAGAGGTTTTCGCTATAGGGCGCGTGCGCTCGCCAGACAGACAGAGACATAGAGACAGAAAGCGAGAAATCACCCCCCAGGGGGGATGGTCACGCCGCAATCCCTTCTCCTCCATTCTCCTCTCGGGATCTTGGGCACGCACGCACACGCGCCCGGTGTGAGATTTAAGCCACCGGGTCCGAGATGCGAACCGCGGTCGACTACATGGGAGTCCAGCGACATAGCCATTACGCTAACTGCTGGTTCCCGAAACAGGATTTTGAAGTCTAAAAATATCTGGCCCTTATTCTGGTACTCAGGAGTCATTGTCACTGGAGTCCTAACCTAAAGTTACTGGCTCTAGTGTAGACACATCATGTGAGATTCAGTGTAGACACATCATGTGAGATATGACTTAATATTTTTGGTCTAGGCAGTGGAGAAGACAGTTCTACCTATGATGGAAACAGTAAACCAACAGAAAAAAGCACAACTTTTTAAAGAGCACATGGGCTTGAACAAGGAGCACATTAAACTAGAGGCCCTCCTCCAAATGTTCTTGTCTGTGTAAAGCCTCTCCCATCCTTCTTCTATTCCTTGTCTACCTAATAGATGGGTAGGAAAGGAGGAAGATTTATTTGCTTCAGAAAGGTAAATACACCACTTAAATTTGAATGGTGTATAACAATGGGCACGTGCGCTTGCCAGAAAGACAGAGAGAGACAGAGAGACAGAAAGCGAGAAATCACCCACCAGGGGGGATGGTCACGCCGCAATCCCTTCTCCTTCATTCTCCTCTCGGGATCTTGGGCACGCAGGCACACATGCCCGGCATGAGTTTAAGCCACAGGGTCCGGGACTCAAACCGCGGTCGACTACATGGGAGTCCAGTGACATAGCCATTGCGCTAACTGCTGGTCCCTAAGCTAGTCTTTTTTTAAAAGAATTACTTTATTTATATTTATTTATTCATTTATTAATTTTTATTTACTTTAATTTGATCACAGAGGGAGAGAGAGAGAGAGAGAGAGAAAGCGAGAAAGCAAGCCGCCAGGTCCAGGACTCAAACTGTGGTTGGCAATGTAGGAGTCCAGCACCCTTTACCATCACGCCACCTGCCGGTCCCTAAACTAGTCTTTATTTATTTATTTATAGATTTTTGCCATAAGGCACATGCATTTGATGAAGAGAAACAGAGAGACAGTGAGAGGGAAAGTGAGAAAGCAGTCCCAGGGGGATGGCGATTTTCCTCCATTCTCTTCCTGAAATCTTTGGTGCACACACACATGTGCCTGGCATGATTTTCAGCCACTGGGTCCAGGACTTGAACCATGGTAAGCCAAGTGGGAGTTCAGTGCCTTAATCACGACACCATCTGCTGGCCCCTAAACTACTCTTAAGATACTGATTTTTTAGGGAACCAGCAGTTTAGCGTAATGGCTATGTCGCTGGACTCCCATGTAGTCGACCGTGGTTCATGTCCCGGACCCGGTGGCTTAAAACTCACGCTGGGTGCGTGTGCGTGCGTGCCCAAGATCCCGAGAGGAGAATGGAGGAGAAGGGATTGCGGCGTGACCATCCCCCCTGGGGGGTGATTTCTCGCTTTCTGTCTCTATGTCTCTCTCTGTCTGGCGAGCGCACGCACCCTACAGTGAAAATCTCTCAAAAAAAAAAAAAAAAAGATACTGATTTTTTAAACCTCTGTCCTAAACACTCACTCGAATTACGTTAATTCATCCAAAATACACAGATTAAGCCCACAGCTAAAAATCACACCCTTCGTATTCCTTATAATGAAGTGTGCCCTTGAGAACAGTCCTTAGAATGCCCCCCTTACCACTCCCCCCTGGCTCCAGTTTCCTTCCTAGGCCCATTTCTCCAGCCTTATCCCCACCCTACCCTCCCTTTAGAGCTCTATTATCCTATAGCACTTCTCTGGCAGACTGTTTCCTCCTTCTGCCTAATCCTAGTCCCTCTCCTGGTCACTGTCCCTTTGGCCTCACTGTCCCATCCCATTTCTGCAGCCCTCCATGCCCTACCTGTTCGCTTGTGCTGGCTCTACTCTCCTCAAATTCTTTCTCTCTCTCTTCTTTCTCTCACTCTTTTTTTTTTTTTTTTAAGAGAGATTTTTGCTATAGGGCGTGTGTGCTCATGGGAGAGACAGAGACGGAAAGACAGAAAGTGAGAAATTGCCCCCCAGGAGGGATGTCTTCTCTCTCTCTTTTGGGTCTACCCACTTCCTCCAAAGACCAGGGTAAAGAAGAGAATCAAAGGTAGGGCCTTTGTCTTTTTGTTCTTGGTAGTTTCTCTTGTCAGTCTGTTAGTGCACATGTCCCTTCAATATCTTAGGTCTTCCACCTGTACCTGACCAAGGACGACAGGGCAATAGGTGTCCCAAGCATTTAAATGCAATGAAATAGTTTCTTTTTTGGTTTGCAAAAATTTTGAATGACTATTACATCCAAAACATTAGTGTTGGTGTTTTGGCAAAGAAAATATGCCAAAGAAGCAATTTTTTAATTAAGAAAATAATGATTAAAGGAACTCTGAAAATATTTTCTACAAAAGGAAGTAATCAGATGTTGAAAAGTAAATTGTAGAAATACATTGCTTACTATTTACAATGATTTAAGCAAATTGCCAATGTCTAACTAAAGCAAAATTTCTATCAAATTGATGCCCTATTCCATCCTTATAATTTTCCTCTATGAAATGTTTTTCTACGTTAATCAATTTTCTTTCTTTCTTTCTTTCTTTCTTTCTTTCTTTCTTTCTTTCTTTCTTTCTTTCTTTTTTTTTTGAGAGATTTTTGTTATAGAGTGAATGCACTCACCAAAGAGTCAGAAAGCAAGAAATCACCCCTTGGGGGGATGGCCAGGCTGTAATCCCTTCTCTTGGGATTTTGGGCACATATGCACACGTGTTCAGTTTAAGTTTTAAGCTGCCGGATCTGGGAGTTGAACCTCAGTTCACTACATGGGAATCTGTAACGTAACCATGCTATCTGCTGATCCCAGCTCTCATCAATATTTGTAGAATATGAGAAACCAATGTTAAAAAGCTAATTACAGGGTACTTAGAACTCAAAATGTAGTTTGTTTCTTATAAAAATGGTTTTATTATTGCTGTCTTCTCATACAGTCTCAAAAAAGCTTAGAATCAACACAAAATGTAGTATACAGATCTGTGATCCCTTATCATAAATCCTTGCGGCCAGACTTTCAGAATTTGTGGTTTTTATATTTTAGGTGGAATGCCTCCATCTATATGCATTTGTGGTATTTTCTGCAGTTCTCTCAAAAGGGTATGGGATGCCCCTTTTTAATTTGCAATGAAATACAGGGCTATTCACATGAAGTAAAGATCAGTTTAATTGTTCAAATCTGATTTTTGTTGCCAAATCAGTCTTGGTGCTCTTTTGATAGAATCCCACTACCAGGGAAAGAAACGGACTTTTCATCTTCTGCCTTGGGTCTTGCCAGTGGGTACAGGACGCCTACCTCTCTAGAAAAGAGACATTTAACTATTTCAGAATCTGATAAAATCTATGGTTCTTCCTCCAAGGAAGTTCACAAATGCACACAAATATAGAAAACATATAGTTTCATGGGGATCACAGACATGTGTTTCAGATGAAGAAATGCCTGCTCTACAGCTAGAAAGGGGAACTGAAAATTCTAGACGTTTCAAGAGTGGCCAAAGGGTCCTGGATGTACTTGGTCATAGCAGGCTGGGGTGAAGATACTGAGAAAACACTGACCAGTGGTAGGTGTGCCCCCTAAACAGCAGGCTCTAAAGTCTTTTCCAGCTGTCGAATGAGGGTACACAGACTTCCAGCTTCTTATACATAGAGAACACTTTTAAGTTTAAGATTGCCAAAAATGGGAGGAAATAAGGCAGGGAGGTAGGAGACTGAAGATATCACAAGGCTAATTCCAATTTGGACAGGTAGGAGTTGATACTTGTAAAATCCACAAGGAAATGACATTATTAACAGCCTTTTGAACCATCTCTGCTTCAAAAGATTGTCTTTGCCAATATGCCTCACCAGACTTGGAGACCATCCTTGAGGGCTGTTGAGACGGATATTTACATTTCTTTGGTGATGCAGACCTTGACTCTTCAGCTGAGATGAAAGGCAAGAAGCCAGTGAAATCCAAGTATTGTGGTAGTCTGTAACAAGGCCACCTGTTAACTAAAAATGGAATTAACCTCACTAGTAGGTTCCAGGGGGGTAATCTGTACAGGACTAGGCTTTACAATATAAGCCTTTCTGCTGTTGTTTTGTAATTATTCTTAATTTTTCTATTTCCTAATTCCTTCTACCAAAGTTCATCTATAACATACATTCACAATAGGGAAAAACAATAAAACTGAATATGGACCATTTTGCATATTAGTGCATTAAATAATAATGCCATTAAAACCAGAAAGTCAAAAATAAAAAGCTGTTTGATGATGGTGATGTGAATAGTAAGGTCTTTGCCTTGACTGATATGCATGGTAATCGTGCTAGAAAGAGAAATGTTATACATGGCAAAGATATATGTAATATAAAACAAAACAAAACAAAACAAACCCCAAACAGACCAGAAAGTCAGTCTTGGTTGGGAAATTTTGCTTCTTACCTTTAGGTTGGGAGATTGTAGAAATGTATTTTTTCTTTTCCTCCTTTTCTTTTACCACAGACTGCTCTAAATAGTTTTTATTAATAACCGTTTCTGAACAGTCAGAGAGAAAGTCTTCTGAGTAATCATTGTGAGAACTTAAGCTTCTGCAGGAGCACTGAGATCTGCTGTAATCAACACTCTTATTGGAGGTGTTACTGCTCCTGGAAAGATCACCTGCGCCTGGGCTTCTCTTGCCTTCTGCAGACCTCCTGTCATTTTCTAATGGCGCACTGGGGAAATGTTCATCTAGATTTGTTTTTGTTGTATCATCCAAAGACATTGTAAACTACCTAATAAAAGAAAAGTATTTTTGAATTTATAGTTGTTGGCATTGAAATGAACCTATGCTCATATTTTTCTTTAACTATAAATGGGTAATTAGGAATGTGAAACAACATATTACTTTGAAGAATTTTTGGAAGAATTTCATTTTGGTTTTTATATAATTTCTACATACAATATAATACCTCTGGGACCAAACTCTGTTGAGATACAAAATTTCCTCTTCCTTCCCTACATTAGAATACTTCTTCAGGAAGTCCTTTTGTACTGGCGTTTTTGGATAACAGCTTAATTAGAGTGTTTTACATGTTATGTTCACAAACTGTCCAACAGCTACAATAGTGGAAGGGAGTGTGATAGAGTAAAGGGTGAGAGATTATTTGAAGGCAAACGGACTTGGGTTTGAACCTGGGTTTGTCTGTTACTATTTGCCATCAGTAAAATGTGAATACCACCATTGATTCCCTAGGGTCATTATAGAGGGAAATGAGATAATTTTTGTGAAAATAATTATCACATTGTAAGCATTCACAAAATAAAATTTTCCTCTCCCAGAATTACTGGGACAAACACAAGAAATATTAAAGGTGCTGATGGTGTCTTCATGTCAGAGATGCAACCTAGAATCAGTCCATTTCCTCATCAGCTATTTGACCAGGAACAACTACCTGAAGAACATCATTAGACTGAGAACCCTTAATGGTAGATACCAAGTTTTGTTCCTGTATATTTCAGTCCTAGTATGTGGCTGCCCCATCCTAACTAATTTTTTTTTAAGAGAGAGATTTCTGTTCTAGGGTGTGTGTGCTTGCTGGAGAGACAAGAGAGATGTAGAGAGACAGAAACCAAGAAATCACTCCCCAGGGGATGGCCACACTGCATTCCTTTCTCTTCTATTCTCCTCTCGAGATCTTGGGTATGCATGCACATACGCCTGGTGTGAGTTTCAAGCTGCCGGGTTTGGGACTCAAACCATGGTCAACTAAATGGGAGTCTAGTGATGTAACCATTATGCCATCTGCTGGTCTCACTACTACTAATTTTAAGTGCTTGAATAATGACCACTGCCACCATCACACATCTGCTGTGTGCCATCCTAGAGGTAGGAGCTTCACATGTATTAGCTCACTGTAGCATGATGACAGCTCTGAGAAACAGGTACCCCTCAGCAGC